TTCGCGTGTACGTGTTCGCGTTTCACTCAAATCGAAAAACAAGTTTTTTTTGATGCCTTGATCAGGAATGAGGCATTCATTTCTCGATAACAGCGCAATCTAGCGGTTTGCTAAGGCTGAGCCTGGGAAGTGGACTGGTTCCGTTCAGGCCAGGCTCGGCCTTAGCAAAGTGCAGATGATCTGGTGTCTCTTATCAGCGTCGGCGCCATGAATTAATGTCATCTTCTTAATAAGGATATCAATGAACCCCTCACACAAGTTCCCACTAACTGTAGTGGTCAAGGGGACTTGGGCGCCGTTGCCTGTGGCGCTGCAGCAGGCCGTTTCGGGCTAAGCGGGTGTGATTCATGTTCAGGAGGCTAGACTGCCCCTTGGGACAAATTTTCAGTGAATTTGGTGATTAGTCAAGCAGTTTCAGGCCTAGAGGATGTGATATTCGTGTTCAGGAAGTAGAACTATGCCTACAGGAATTTCCAGCATCTACCGTCCCAGTGGAAAAGTTTAAAAAAACTGGCTTGTTTTCCGCATAATGAGGCAGTGATAGGTGAATAGTGCCGAGTTTTCTTGTGACATAGGGTGTCAACAATCATTCTTCTCTTTGATGTCCATTCCATGGGTACCAGTTATTATTGGATTCTCAAGCGGTTAAAGGCGACGTGCGAATGCCTTTTTATTGCCAACGCTTTGCTGTTATGCCGTCGTGTCTAGTCTGAATGCTTCAGTGGAAATAAAGTACGGTTGCTTAAGTGGTTTCGATCTTTATATTCCCTTCTTCCCCTTACTTCTGAGCAGGGATGTCTTGAACTGAAGAAACGGTACGGACTTTTTTCCAGCCACGGAGGTGGAGATTCCTGATGGTTCAACGTTTACGCTGTTAGAAAGTTTTTGGTGCTGAAGTAATTGGGTGTGGGACCACTCGGCGACGACTTTTTATCTGGCTCTCAGTCAAGGCTTAGGCTTAAAGAGTCCCGAGATAGTCTCCACTAAGCGTAAGTCGTGATTAAGGAAGTCAGAGAGGCGCTGCAGAGTGGTAGCTACGTTAGTGCCAAAAGTCTTCTAACTCAGGAATGCTGTCAGATTGAATTTTTTCCATAAATGCAATTTTGGTGCGACTGAACTATGTAGTATATTTCGCTGCGGACGTTTGGGCGTGTCAGGCGGGTGATTTGGCGCGGTGCCAAACCCGTTCTCCACCAGTTGTTAAAGCGAGCAAATGATATGACTGTATCATATCGTTCGTATTACTCGTTTTCTACCACTTTTTGTCGCATGCGCGCTTCAACAAGAAGGCAGAGAACGGCTTTGACGGGGTGACACACTCATACTGCCTGACACGCCCAACCGTCCAGCAGCGAACTGAAGTGTAACAGTGTGTTAAGGGTGCCCTGGGTTCAAATGTGTTGTATAATGCTGCTCCAATACTGATGGTAACTGAGGTGAAAATGAATAAAAAAAAGCAGAAAACCCAGCCCGAAACGCCCATCTTGAATCCCCTAGCTGAACAGTGATTGAACTTGTAGAAGGGGAATCGTGGGTAGACGAGTTTTCACATGCTGGTGCTAGCTCCCTCTCCATATCACCTCGCTCTCACATTCGCAATGGAGATAGCTAATAGCAGAAGATCCGTACCACAGGAGACCTTCAGGAAAGGACGCATTGGGCGGTGTCAGCCAGTCGGTGGGGCCGTGACATCGTCGTGAGCGGATCGCACTTTCCTCACGTGTTTTTGAGCTCCTGAAGTAATACGATCTCCATGCTTGCGGACGATACTACCATGTTCAAAGAAGGCGTCTGCACATCAAATGAACGCGAGGTATGCTCTGAGTGCTCGCAATGATATGAATAGAAGAAGCAGCGATTTAGGTAGTCGTACAAAAACAGCGACGTGCTGCTTCTGCTGACTTACCTTAACTTATACCTCATCTACTCTCCCATTTGCCCTCACCCTTTCACACAATGAAGAGCTTTTGCTGGATGAAAATACCCTGGAAACACTCCTTCGATTCGAGGGCGGAAGGTATGAAGACCTTGGAATCATGGAGCGCTATTCCATCAATGGTGAATACTTGTCACAAAGAGATCAAGTCATTCCTCTCATATGCCCACCCACATTCTTCTCTAATTGCGTTCTTCTGGTTTCAAAAAAAGATCGATTCTAGTGTTCGTGCTAACTGAAGCTAGTAAAAGTAATGCTGCATTTGTGATTGATGGATGTTTAGAGTTGTCGCAGAGGGAGTGATCATTTCCTGTTCGTTTCAAATGCTCATGACATGTACAACCGCGGAAAAAAATTTCGAAAGCTTTGAAGAGGCATTTTCGTCTGTTCTAAGCTGTTCACAAGCTTGGTCCAGGGTTCCCGACCGAGCCAACCGATTTTTACTTGCCTGCGGGGAAAGCTTATTGGTACTAGACTCGTCTAAGAAGATAGAATCGTCGGTTTGTACATTGGCAGTTCCATTCCCCACCTCCCCCCCCCCTCTCCCGCCCCATCCCGCAATGCATTGCGTGCGCCAATTCACATTCAAGGGCCACAACGACTTTCAATAGAAGAAGTTCTCGCAGCAAGCTGAAATCTGATTCGTCAAAGCAAAAGCTTTCATATTCAAGCTTTCTTTTGCAGTATTGCTCTCACCGTTCCAAACGTCACAGACAGTGCTGGGATGTCCTTGTTCGTATGAGGCGGCATGGTTAGCCGTCTGTCTTAATCCCATTTGGCCCATCGGAAGAAGGAGCACACTTGCCTGAGTGTTTCTTCTTCTTCTTCCTTCCCTCTCCATTTCCTTTTTTATAGCTCTCAAAAAACCACTGTTTAAGAAGAGAAACTTCGAAAACGGATCCAATGTCATAGTGGTGGCTGCGGACCCACCGCAGTAATTTTCAAAATTCTGTCCCGGCAGTGACTTTAACCAACCAGCTCTGGTTTTTAGAATCGCTTTTCTGAGCGTGTCTGATTTGAGCAAGCGAAGATTTCATGTGCAATCCAAAAATTATAAGTAAAAATATTAAAAAGTGCGCGGTTTGGGCTTGTTCCAAGTTTTTTTTTCCGCGGCTGTGTGTGTTTATTGAAGAAACTAATCTGTGTCTGACATGTTGTTGGTCGCTTCTCAGAAAAGTCTGTTTAAGCAGAAAACTGCTCACTTCTTGTCGAGTCCTGTTATGGCGCTTAAGATTTCTTGCTAACGGGTGGTCCCTACAGTTCTTTGTGAGCTCAATATTGCAAACTCGAAAAGAATGCGCTTCGGAAGTACAGTTGTTATTGGAAATGGGGCTATACGAGATCTTACAATTGCAAATACAATTCCTATAACAATTGTGGATTGATAGTTTCCATGAGTAGGAGCTTTGCGTCTCCAATTGTGTTAGTTGCGATGACTCCTGTGCAGTATCGATCGATTGTTGCTTGGGTGGGCGAAACGACGGCGGCGTCCTCCCTCCGCTCCGATGTGTCATCATCTCACACAACAGCTCCATTGCCTCATCCTCCACTATACTTATACACGTCACCTTTATCCTTTTTTTTGTACAGCACCTCATTTCGTAAGAATTTTGTCCGTTCATAAAAATACGCCTCCAGTCTGTCATGCGACCAAAAGTCGCAGCGTCGCTTCAAATTGGTAATCATATTTAGGCGTCAGCGATTTACATGGTGCAACGACGCGTTTGTCCTCCCCCCACACATGGTTACTATTCTTCGTAATTAGGCTTTTCCGATTCCTCCCTTTTTAGATCGATTTCCGTTCTCCTCTATCTTGCTTGTTAGATTTCCATCAAAGCTTTTGCCAAGTGAGTTTCGAATCTTATTTTCTTCTGCTCAGCGAGGTTAGATGATGACCTCTATTGCGCCGACGCTTCGTTCGACCTTCGCGTCTTTGAAAGGCCCGAGGCTTCTGACTTTCAAGCTAACCGACCAACTCTCCCTCCAGAATAATCTGGTAGTGAACATGATCAGCTAACCGGAGGTCCCACGAAAATGTGGGTATCGTTAGTAAGAGCGAATGAGCATTACCCAAGCCTTATTCGATCTTGAGGTTCATTCGCTCTTAGGCCGCGTTAGCTTGCGATACTGACAAAATGCAGAAATCACCAGTTGACGAAAAGTGTTAGATACATATCGATTCGAAAAAATGCAGAAGTGACGAATTGTAGAAAATCGATAGGTGTCTAGTGCCGTTCGTCAATTCGTCACTTGTGCCTTTCTGCATTTCGTCACTGTGTCAAGCTATGAACGGCCCCCACTAACGTTAACAATGCAGCGTGGGCTACGCTCCGCATATGGGTAAGACTTCTGGTTAGTTAAGCATTCCCATCAACAGGCCATTCGGAGTGTTTTCTGTACGACGTGGGGAACGCTGGAGCATGAGGACGCTTGGTTTGGTAGCTTGGAAGTTAAAAGCTTCGAGCCACTTTCGGGCCCTGAAGAAGACGAAAAGGTCGAAACGTCGGGCCAGTAAAGTACACCATCTAGCAACCTCGCTGGGCAGAATTAAATAAGATTCGGCATCATTCACTGGTTTCAACATGGAGACGAAGTGACTATGTCATGTAGTATTTTTAGTTTCACATTGAACTTTACTCATACAGTGCGTTGTTCGCTTTCCCAACCGTTCCAGTAATGCCGATTGAAGCACTTTGCTGGTTTCATTTTGAAATGTTTTTCTGAAACATACTGGAATGCTAAGAAATTCAATGTGATTACCGGTCTGATAAATTGCGTTAGGTTTTTCACACCTAAACTTATTTCAGAAATTTGCCTCGTGCGTATTTTAGTTCCCAACCCTTACCATGTACTATGGCTCTTTCATGCTCATCTAGTGAATGTCCTGGTGAATGTCGCAATAATTTCATTATTTTCCTGTTATGTTGACCAGCAGTCGCGCTCGTGTGGGCTTGATTAATTTGAGCTCATTCCCTTCATTCCGTTATCTGATCTTGTTTTGTATGGTTAACGCTTGAAAATTTTCAGGGATTCTGCACGGGTAGTCCCTCTTTAGATAGTAATTATGGCCGCGATTAGAAAAAAGGTACGATATTCATCGTTAATTCCATTCTGCGATACTGGATTTTTTTTCGTTTAGCTTGTGATCGTCGGTGACGGAGCCTGTGGTAAAACTTGTTTGCTGATTGTCTTCAGCAAAGATCAGTTCCCAGACGTGTACGTTCCAACTGTTTTCGAAAACTACGTTGCGGACATTGAAGTGGATGGAAAACAGGTATGTTTCGCTTTTGTTTGAACTTGAGTGACTTACTTCATAATTTTTCGAAGAAAAGTCTATTCGGTGCATATTTAGGTTGAGCTAGCGTTGTGGGATACAGCTGGTCAGGAAGATTACGATCGTCTACGTCCATTATCATATCCAGACACCGATGTCATACTCATGTGCTTCAGTATTGATTCACCCGATTCACTGGAGAATATTCCTGAGAAATGGACTCCAGAGGTATACAGTTTTACAATGTTCGCGTAGGTCATGGTTGTTTCGGCGCAGTTCGGCGCTGGGGAGGGGTCATTTGCACTTTCGCTGCTTCACTAGTTCTGGTTTACACGTCTCCCTGTCAGCTCTTGTGAGCACATTAAATTGCTCCCTTGATGGCACGGCCCGTGGATGGGAAGCACCAAAAAGGCAAAATGCTTCCCCTCCGTCGCCGAACTGCCCCCTGTTTTTTTTTGACGGCGCACCCAGAACATCACGCGATTTTTTTTCTGTTAGTCGCAATATCCAGTTGAACATCGTATAAACTTACTGTGTGGTTACCTGAAATGTGGATCCCCTTAACCTGAGGTGAACAGGTCATAAAGTATACTTGCACCGTTGCTTGAAAGTGCACTGCAATGAAGCGGGCAGATACTGATAGCTTTGTAGTCCCTATTTGTTCGCCCATTTAATAACAGGGCATGTGGTACAGAGGGAATCCCTAGCGAGCGGGTCGTATTTGTGCGCTTGGTTTAGGGGGTTCGTAATTGCCTTCAAAAATGTTTCCTGTTGTTGGCCTTCCTCACTTTTCCTGTTGAAGTATGCTATAATGCTGTATACTTCCCCTTCCCTACCCTTCGAAGCAGTTTTTTGGGAAAAGTGGAGGATCTTGGGAAGAACTTTGGGTGGGGTCAAGTTGGGAAAGTTGAGGCAGACGGTCGGTAGAATGGAAGAGATGTATGGCGGAGGAGGGTGTCGTACCAAAGGGGGAGTTATGAGGGAGGAGTTCCGAGGAACTTGGGGTTTTCATGATCACTTTCAAAAACCCTTCCAATTGGTTTTCAAATTAGTGTTGGGAAAGAAAGGCAAACTTGTTGGTCGTAAGAGACCAGTATGTTTTCCTGCATTGACTGCGTTCAGTTCCCTTAATGCTCTCTAGAAAATTCCGCGACCGTTCACCTTTTTGCCGCTGGTTGTTGGATGACCATTAGTCGCGTACTGTGGCCACGACCTATTTTTGTTTTTTGTCCTATCTGCAGTGCATAGTGCATATTGCATACATTTCATTTTCAAGTGCGACCATAATTCCTGTAGAGTGCCCTTTTTTTAATTCAAAACGTGGATAACTAATTGGCAATGTTAAAAAGGTGAAACTTCCCCTGTTTCTTCCCTAATTGTCACGTTGTGACTGTGCTTACGTTCAGATTTTGCGTGACCCTCTGAGGAGAGGGGGAGGGGCGGAGGATTTGATGAACTAATGTGGTGCTCAGTATTCCCCCGTGTTTGTCTCGTTGTTTATGTTTATTTAAACAAAATTGCATTTGAAGTCGCAGCACAAATTGTTTGGGGAACATTAGAGTGTGGGGGGCGGGGGGAGGGTATGAAAATAGTGAATTGCCAGACTGTGACGCTTCCTTATCGTTGACATGGCCATAAATTTTCCAAGCGATATGGCAGCTCTTGACCATGCACGCGGCCTGGGAGCCCGGCCCATATCTCTGCTCGGCTCCTTTACAAGCCTAAGCGCTCTACATCCGGGGACGGTACGTTGATACCAGATTCGACTGAGAGGACAAGAATATTGATTTGTACACTGGCTGCCCCCCCCCCGGAAGTTGCTGTATAGACGATATCGCGCATTCAGTACATCAGTAAGATTCCGAATGGAAGTGGTGGCGTACCGCATCCAAATTAGGACACTGCACTACGTACTGCAAAGACTTTATGCTGTTCCATATTTGGCACCTCCTCGGTGAGAGGCTGTTATGTTGCTGTCTAGATTTTTTCGATAGAAGATTACAATAGTGGTGACCATGGAATTGCAGTTAGGTAGCGTTCAGACTTGGCGACAGCAGCACCTCGATCGCGCGTTACACGCGATTGATACAGTCGAAAGTATGCGCATTGATCGCGTCGAACGCGCGACCGGCCTTAGATTGCGATCAGACTTCGCGACGCTAGCGTGTTATCACGCGTTGAGCTACAGTCCCGCTTTAACGTTAATAATTGATAGTCGCTCGAAATTTCACCAATTTCCCTTTACTTGAACTCTTTTCATAGCAGTCTGTTTTTGAATTCAGAGTGTTCCAATCCCTAGATTGGGGTGGGGGGGGGCAGAGTGAAACATGAAGTCTGGCTCTCAGTCCGAGTAAGTCTGGCTCTCAGTCCGAGTCTGGTTAACAAACTGGGTTATTAGCGGCAAAATGGCACGGAATATTGGACTTGCGTTGGAAAAAGCAACTAGGTTATCAGTGACGTAACTTTTGATGATTGACCATGATCATATGAATCAAAATCTAGGAAAAAAAAGTGGCAAAAAATTTTGTGAGCAGTTACCCACATTTTGGTCCCTTGAATGCTTAGTTTTCAAGTTCTTTTCTGAACGGACCAGACTTAGTTGTTGCTCAATCACGAGTTCATCGAGACTTGAATGAGTGATAGAGAAAGATATTCTAGAACAACAAATAATCGGGCTGAATAAAATTAAATAAATCGATATTCGTATTCTTATCATAAGTTCATAGTTTCACATACCGAGGTGGAACGAGAATGGTTTTTTTTGAAGGCAAACTGCGCGATAACGTATCGTGGATTGTGAATTCTGTTACGAATCTAGAGTCGCTAACTGACTCTCAAGTGGGGGGGGGGACAAAAAATCTTAGAGAGCACCCTAAGGATTCCTGGTAGCCTCACTGAAAACGTTTTCCAGGTCTACTTGTTTCGTGCCAGCACACCCTGCCGCCTCTGCCTCCTCATCGTTTCTTCGCGTCATCCAGTGCTAATACCATTTATTAAAGAAAACAAAACACGGAAAACACTGTGTGAAAACTCAGCTGGTCACAGGAAATAACCTTCGAGTTTTTGTGGGCGGTGCAACTAGAGAGCTTAGAGCTGCCACTTATGAGGACTACGCCTTTGTTACTTACTGTGAAGCTGCAAAAGTGGTACAGCCTTAGAGACTGCGTATCAGACTGCTTCAACAAGGAACGACTCTCACGATCTGCTTGAGTGCGGGGTCTGTCGTCTTGAAACTAGGATATTTCTTTCCCATTCTTTCCTTTTCTTTTTTTTCCAAAAAACTATTCAAGAAATAGTTATCGAGAGAATTCGAAGTTCAGGGCTTATTATCGGTTTTTATGAGGATTGCACGTATTATTTATGACGCGTTTGCTTCAAAATAAAATAAAGCATAAAGTTAGAGAGGTCCATCAATTACTTTCAGTGGAGCGTGGCTGCAGTGGCTGCGTTTCAACGCACTACCATCGTGAAGTCAGAAAGTAGCTTCATATCACATGTTTTACTCTACTATGAATATTTTTACTGTTTTTAGGTTCGGCATTTCTGTCCCAATGTACCCATAATTCTTGTCGGTAACAAGAAAGATTTGCGAAACGACCCTCAAACTGTGCGAGAATTGGCTAAAATGAAGCAGGTATGTTGATTTTTACATCATCATTCTTTTCTGAAGTCATAATAAGCATAGTTTACGTTTAAGGTGAATTTTGGTCAGATGTTGATAGCTTCTAATTCACCCACACAGCTAATTTTCTATGAGGAACAGTTCCTCGCCGTTGATATTCCTTTATATTTTTCGCTCGTTCAAATGTTTAGGCTTAATGACCTTGCGTAAACATAGCAGTTACTGCTTGACTGCTTATGAGCGATGAATTTCGGGTACTTTTTCCACTACTGGGACTCAAAATCGGTTACTTTTTGGAGGTTCTCGGTCTGGGTGGTTTTTCGGTGCGGTGGTCAGGTGATACCCATTTTTGACGTTGGCACCATTTGGCGCTATCACCCTTTCCACTAAAAGTTGTATAAACTTGCATACAATGGTAATTGACATGCTGATTACGAATATGATATTCATTCTCAGCGCCAACACTGACGTAATGCGCTCCGATCATCTTCGCTCTGCTAAAACTGAGCCTGGTGGGAGGAAAATCCTCCTTATAGGCTCAGCCTCAACGAGCACTGTGAACTGATGTAAAAAAAAGATGTCATATCCGTGAGAGGGCGTCAGACAACCACATAATGTAGGATTTTATCGATTACCAGTCGTCTCGCCGGGTAACGCCGGCGCGCCTCCTTCTGATACGGCCCGGCTGCGCCGGGCGAGCGCGGCTTCGCCGCGCGTATTTCTTTCACATATTTCTAGACTCAACTGATATCCGCCTTTTGTTCTGTACTTTTTCCGGTGTCTGAAGTACTCTTGAGCTATTTTACAGATTCTTCGTCTGACTCCGCCCACCTCGGAGCAGGCCCCGCCCACAATGTTTGTGCCCCACAATCCTCACCGGCGACCCTCTGCTGACCTTAATCCACTTTTTCCGGTCTTCGGAGTGCTCTGGAACCGTTTTAGACCTTTTTGTCTGGCTCCGCCCACCTCGGAGCAGGCTCCGCCCACAATGTTTTTGCCCCACTCCTCACCGACCCTCTGCTGACCTTAATCCACTTTTTCCGGTGTGTGGTGTGTTCTGGAACCGTTCTAGAGAATTTTTGTCCGGCTCCGCCCACCTCGGAGCAGGCTCCGCCCACAATTTTTTGCCCCACAATCTTAACCGACGACCCTCTGCTGAACTTAATCCACTTTTTTCGGTATCTGGAGTGTTCTGGAACCGAGCTACAAACTTTTAAAATGAATACCCTGCGATTTAGGGCAAGCTCCGCCCACTGTGGGCGGGTCTCAACACACTTTGAGCGTGCCCTATATTCGCCGGATATTTACATTCTACACTGAGTTTTTTGCGACTTCCAACACTCGCGAACCGGGTTACTGAATTTTGCGAGAAGCACCGCCCACCTTGAGTACGCCCCGCCCATTTAGGGTGTACCTGCCACAGTTAGTCTGGCGACTCCTTACTAACCTTAGTCCCTTTTTCCCCATCTTTAAGCTGCTCCGGAAGCGAATTATGAACATTTTTCTGCGGAACCCCAAACTTTCGGCGAGTGCCCCCCACTGTGGGCGGGGCTTCCCATAGGTCAAGTGTGCTTTTTATTTCTTGTCCCATGCCCTACCTATCCCCACCTTGACTGGACCTCTCCACTCTTCA